TATATAATGAGGTGCTATGTTTGCAAAAATATAATTCAAAACCACTATTAATGGTGAATATCAGATTCCACTGTAGAAGTAAGTCCCTTAGGATAATTTTCTTTTAATTGTGGATCATTTTCTGATTTTCATTGTTGGGAATTCTTAAATCTTAGTGTTACCAGTAAATATCATCAATACAATTGTCAAGAGTACATTTATACTTTAAAGTGGGAGCAATTTTCTGTTCAAATAGATGAAATAATCAAAGATAAAGCTTTGAGTCTAAGGGAAAACTACCAGTTATTAGTCTACCGTAGTTTATGAGTCACAGGTGTCTTCCCCCAGTGTTAATCAAAGTAATTAAACTGTAACATGACTATTTTGTTAAACATGATTTTCTGGTTAAAAGTTTTGACTGCTATAAAAATGTTATATTTTGAATATTATGAACCATAAACAAATATTTTGTATTTCTTTCCACCTCATTGGACTGGTTTTCATGTTTCCACAAAATAGGATAATTGTAAATTTAAAGTATTAAGCATTTATTGGTGAGTAATGCATGCATTTTCCCATTCCAAAAAATAAGTGATTAAAGTTGAAATCGTTTTTAAAGCTATAAACAAAACCACCACCAATAGCTTCCAATCTTATTCAGAATAAAAGCTAAAGTATTTAAAATAACAACAAATATCCTATATAATCTGTGCTTCCCTTGCCATCCACCTTTACTCTTCATTTCTTTCTTTTTTTAATAGACTTTTTTTAATTAATTAATTAATTTATACAAGCACTGGGTACAGTCAGAAGCACCGGAGGGTGAGAGAATTCACCAGAGCCAGAGCGGGGAGCAGAGCAGGCAGAGTGACGAAGTACACTGCTGAGGGGAGCAGCGGGCGGCATAAGAGGTCTGCACGCCATGTGGGACCCTCCGCCGGTGGCCGGGGAGCAGCCAGGGATGGAACCGGCGCTGCAGAGGCTGCGGGCAGCTTCGCAACCCAGCGCTCAACCACTGCACCACTGGGGAGGCCCTACTCTTCATTTCTAATCTCATCTCATATCATGCTTTATCAATCCTTTAGTCCAGTGAACCCAGAATCTGTAGTGCTCTTTAAAGATGCCAAACATAATCCAATCTCAATTACTGTTTTGGCTGCTGAAATACTTTGGCCTCTACCTGAAATATTCTTTAATCCCTGATAATCACATGGTTCATGCCCTCACTTTTTTCTTCTCCATGAGACCTAATTTGATTTCCCCAATAATCTATACACCTATAGAGTTTCATTTCTCTCCATGATACTTATCACAATCTAACATACTCTATGCTTCCCTTATTTACTTTACTGAGTATTGTCTACTCAAAATATAAACTTGATAGAGACAATAAATTTTGTGTTGTTAGGGTCTCCCCGGTGGCGAAGCGGTTCAGCCCTGGGTTGCAAAGCTGCCCGCAGTCTCTGCAGCACCGGTTCCATCCCCGGCTGCCGGGCGAGGGTCCCACATGGCGCACAGACCTCTCCTGCCTCCCGCTGCTCCCCTCAGCAGTGTACTTCGGTCCTTCTGCCTGTTCTCCTCCCCGCTCTGGCTCTGGTGAATTCTCTTACCCTCCCACGCTTCTGACTGTACCCAGTGCTTGTATTAATAAATAAATAAAATCTTAAAAAAAAAAATTGTGTTGTTATTTACAATATCCCTAGTGTAAATAATAGTACCTGGCACATAACACGAAAATATATAAATAAATATAGTTATTATTTGTTAAAAAATTTAAATTTAAATAAATATTAAAAGTTAAAATTTATAGAAAGATTCCAATTTTGCTTTCTTTATCTGTTTATATTATCTGTCTAGTAATCAAGTCCAAAACTAATATTGTTAAGGAGGTTACTTATAAAATAAAAAGGAAAATCAGCAAAAAGATATAACTTCCCATAGTCTCATTGTATAGGAAAATTAGCAATCATTACTGAAAATCATTACTGAATAAAACTTAGAAAAGCAGGAAAAAATCAAATTATTGTGATTTCAATTTATTCTTAGGAAGCTATCTGCAGAATATGAGTCAAGTAGCATATTCCATACCACATTACATTTCAGCATCTAATAACGATATCATAAAGCTGACTTCAATTTCTGCAGCTCTAACACAGTAGCAAATTAGATTAATTGCTGAGTGCTTTACTCTTATGACCTTATAAATAGCCTATCATATTAAGCTCTATGTAATGAAAAGCATTCATATAGTAATTTACCTTATTAATATTTGATATATTAATAAGCTAAATTACTATTAATATATACCCACTTATATATTATGTATATAATATATACCTACTTATATTAATAAGCGGGTATAAAATAGCTAAAGCCTCCCTCACTTTCAGATCATTTTAATGGACTTGATCAACAGGCATACCTTTTACTCTACTATGGTCTTTCGTTAAGTTCTGTTCCCAAATGCATTTCTTTCAAGGCAGACCGATGAAATACACTGCTGAGGGGAGCAGTGCTTATATAAATTACTTAATTAATTTAAAAAAAACAATGTTGGGCCTCCCTGGTGGCGCAGCAGTTGAGTGCTGGGTTGAGAAGCTGCCCGCAGCCTCTGCAGCGCTGGTTTGATCCCTGGCCACCAGGCGAGGGTCCCACATGGCGTGCAGACTTCTCCAGTCGGCCAGCTGCTCCCCTCAGCAGTGTACTTCGGTCCTTCTGCCTGTTCTGCTCCCCGCTCTGGCTCTGGTGAATTCTCTCACCCTCTCGCGCTTCTGACTGTACCCAGTGCTTGTATCAATGAATAAATAAATCTTTAAATAAATAAATAAAAATTAAAAAACAATGTTTTCAAATAAATTTTATACCTCTTTGCATAAATATTTAGTATAAAGATAATTTTTATTATAAGAAACTTACATATTTCTCATGAGTAGAGCACAATTACACAAGCACTTATTTTTTAAACCTATATTTTATAACCTGTATTTTATAGGTTATAAGCTGATTTAATGGAAGAAATCAAATTTTTGAAAATAATGTCACTAACACATTTAGAAAGACAAATGCAAATGGGCTATCTTAACAACAGAGATTCAGTCAAATTACAAGCCTTTTAAATGTCAAATCTGTGGTACTTAACATGAAGTATTACATACAATTGAATTGGTAAATACAGAGCAATACAATTGCTCTGGTAAATTTATATATGGCTATTTATAATATTGGGCACCAATTTAATAATGCTAGTCAGGCATAAAATAATGAAATTTATAAAATCAATTACTTTGATAGATTGAATAGTAATGCCTAATGTACAAAACTATTATTAACCTATTCTTGATAGTTTAAAAAGGATTTCCTGAAGCCTCCCTGGTAGTACAAAGGGTTAAGACAAAGCAATTTGAAGCTATCCACAGCCACAGCAGCCCGAGTTCGATCCCCAGCCAGGGAGCTGACCCACATGGCACAGCAGACCTCTCCTGTCTCACCCATTGCTCCCTTCAGCTGCGTATTTCAGCCTGCTCTGTTCCCCACCCTGTCTCTGGTGAATCTTCTCACCTCCCCCCCAACTTCTGGCCAATAGCCCAGTTCTTGTATGCATAAATAAATCTTAAAAAAAAAAAAAAAAGAAAAAAGAAATTCCTTATGTAAAGTAAATTTTTGAAAGAGAATAGGACTTGGAATTCCCAATTTGGAACATCAACTAAAAAATGGGTAAGCATCACCAATATGGAAGAAATAATATTTTAATCTCAATCACTTAAAGACTACTGTTCTTGGTAACTATTTCTTGATTACCTAAAACACTCTTTAAAATAACAACAGACTAATTATGAGGTAAATGAAGTTTGAAAATCTATGGAAGAATCATCCAATATTAGCACTTATATTGGAAATCATCTGACTCAAAGTCTATGAACTTTCAGCCACATCATTGTTTTTCTTTAATTCTCTAAAATAACTTAGATAATTATATTACAAAAATATTTAAAAATATAAGTATATTAATGAAGACACGATCTCAAAATATTGGTGGAACTGCAGGAAAATTAGGTAAAAATTAGAAACTAAACATGGATTCATATTCCAAAAAACAGCAATAGAAACATGCAAAGAAGCAGAAACATGAAGTAAATGTCAGAGCAGTGAGGACAGGGAGAAAAGGAGACATAAAGTAAATACTAGAAGGGGGAGAAGAGGGAAAGAAATAGGGGGAAAAAGGGGAAGGGAGAAAGGGAAGGAAGCAGGAAGGAGCAAAAGAAGCGGGTGAAGAAAGGAAGGGGGGTAGAAAGAACTGCACTTAAAACTATATCACTTCTATTTTATTGGGAGAAACACAGTATCTTCACTGTGCAAGATACATCCAAATAATAGGAGTTGCTTATTTCATTTACTTCCACAAAATAACAAAATAGTTCACAAGTAAAGGGCAAGAGGAAAACACATTAATAAACAGAAAGGTGAATTAAAGAACAAAAAATTCTTATAATAATATAGTATTTATAGCAATAAATTTTTAACTGTAACTTTTATATAATTAAAAAAGTCCAACTATGAAGGCCATTTAAAAATTAGTATGTTTCTCTTTCCATTCACATGCAAGTCTTCTTATGATAACATTTGGATATATAAACATAAAATCAAGTTATGAAGGCAAAATAATGCTATAATCATCTTGTAATTTTAACAGTTTTATACATCACAGGTAAAAAGGAATTTTAAAAGACTTCCAAACAAATGCAATCATACCTTTATTACTTAATACTCAGTAATTAAATAAGTAAATATGATGTTTAAAAGTAAATTTTTGAATTCCTTGCATTCAATCACAAGTGCATATTGCTTAATATGGTCTATAAAAAAATCTGCATCATTAAAAAAACAGACACCATACAGTCACTTTAGATTTTTTAAAATGTGAATTGACCCAAGTGGAGAGATTCTAATACGTAAACACAACTTTTAATGATAAGAATAAAAATCAATAAAATAGACATTTTTTTTTCATAATTGTGCCATACCTTTAGCTAAAGCTTCTTTATATTTCTCTTTGGCAGAATTCATTTCTTTTATTAATTGCCTATAGTTGGATTTTAATTTCTCTAATTCTGTCTTTGTAACCTGTCAAAAAAGAAATGCAAAAAAATAATTTTAATGACTAAATTTACATTGGTCAACAACTTATATTCCAAAATACTGGTTTTTATTTTACAAACTTTTTATTTTACTGCTTATACATAAGAGTTGTTCCTTAAAATAAAATTATATACAATAAACAAAAAGTTTAAAAAACAGGAAATATTTAACAACTTACAAAAATAAATATTCTCAAAAAAAAACAAAAACAAAACAACCAGCAATCAAGGAAGACCACAACGGAGTAAGAAGAGGTTCCTTCTTCACTCCCTAAAGTAGAATCTGTAAGTTAACCAGACCAAAACTACACTTTGAGGGTTCCAAGATATAGGGGAAACTGGAACAACTTTCAAATCGTACACCAGCTGCAGTGTGAACTGGGACACAGAGGAGATTCACGGTTCATTAAACAAGAGGAGGGTAGAGAAAAATGATGGGAAATTGTGATCCTAGGAAGGAGGCTACCATACAAACCACTGCACTGACAGTTGGCCAGTAACCTTAGGAAGAGGAGACATGAACAATGTGGAAGTACTCACCCTTGAGGGAACATAAGCACAGAGAAGTTGGGGTGCTCCCAGAGTGCGTGATCACCAGTGAAAAGAACAAGGACAGTGCCTGGCTGCACACTTCCTTCCCAACAACCCAGGGTTGATACTGATTTTGTGAACACACTGAAAGCACACAAACTACAGAGTCGGGTGTGGACCCCTAAGAGGAAGGATATTAACAGATCCACAAATATGAGCCCACTGTCCCTCCCACAAACAACTGTATCCCTAGAGCCTCTCCCCCACCTCCAGGTTCAGGAGATGCAAGATGTGGTCTCTAGGCTTAATGAAGCTGGGAAAAGTGAAAAATCTGCTGCCTGCTGGAAATAGGTACTTCAAAATTCTACGTTACTGCCCCAGATAACCGACCAAAAAAAAAAGGGAAATGCAAAACAAGCAGACATAAAAATACAACTCATGGGACACTGAGAACTCAAGTGAATATAATGTTCACCAGGAGAAGACAAGTTTCCAAAATGTAACAAAAAGACATGGAAAAGTTTTCTTCTTATCAGATACTGAGTTCAAAATTGCCATGATAACAAAATGCAAAGGAAAAAAAATCAGAAAAGTTGATCAAAGATAATAAGAAAACTAAACTAAAAAAAAGAAATGCATGACCTAAGAAATAAAATTAATGAACACAAAACAGAAATTGAAGATTTAAATAAGAAAACAATGGAGATGAGGGATGTAAAAAGTTCAATACAGGAGATAAAAAGTACTTGGGAAAACTATGGAAAAGAGAGAATGGAGTGACCTATTCAAAATATTAGAAGATAAAATTACCACCTGAGAATACTATCTATCTGTCTGTCTATCTATCTATATCCTTCATGACTTTCAATCAGACATGAGGAGAAAGAAAGGTGATCTCAAATAAAAGATAAGAGTTTGCAAACAGTACACCCCCTCTAAAAGAAATGTTGAAAGAATCTCTATTATCTAGACTGACAAGAAGAAATCCACCAAAAAAAAAAAAAAATTGAACAAAGCAGCACATAGAATCAAAAATAAAGACAAAATAGCAGTAGCAAACACTCATATGTCAACAATCATCCTAAAATGGAATGGAATGAATTCACAAATCAAAAAGTATACCATAAATACATGAAGCATAAAGCAAAACCAAACTTTCTGCAATCTCCAGAAAGCCTATCTGAGCTATAGAAAATAAATATAGGCTCAGAGTAAATGGCTGGAAAACAGTCATACAAGCAAATAGGGCCCAAAATAAAAAGGGAAAATGAAACAGCAACAGTTAAAAAGATGAAACAAACTTCTACCTAAAAAAGATAACAAAAGACAAGGATGCATAACACATAATGATTAAAAAAACAATAAATCAAGAGGACATAATACTCATAGATATAAATGACTCAAATGAAGAACATCAAAATATATTAAGGTAACTATTGGCAAATCTGGAAAAAAAAAAAAAAAAAAACATTAGGAGCAACAAAAGAAAGGACTTCAACATCCCACTTCAATTCACGGACAGATCAACCAGAGAAAATATCTAGGACAATAGCAATAAATATGGAACTATGCAACACTGGCTTAACAGACATTTTACAGGAGGGGGTGGATACCAAAAAAGCTGATTACACATTCTTCTCAAGTGCACATAAACATATTCAAGGATAGGTGACATACTGAATCACAAAATGTCAACTAATTCATAAAGATTGAAAACATATCAAATACCTCCTCTGGTAACAACTTAATCAAGCTGAAAAGAAAAAAAAAGGGTAAAAAGCACCTACTATGTGGAGATGTAACAACACACTACCAAATTGGACTAATGAGGAAATCAAAGAAGAAATAAAAATACCTGGAAAACAATAAAAATGAAGACACAGGCTACCAGAATCTATAGGATGCAGCAAAAGCACTGCTAATATAGAAGTACATAGCAAAACAAGAGTTTAAATAACCCAACTGCACACCAAAAGGAACAAGAAAAAGAGGAACAAATATAACTATAAAAGGAAAGAATAATAAAAATTAGAGCAAAATGAATGAAAAAGAAATCAAAAAGACCATTCAAAATATTAATAAACTGAAAAGATGGTAACTTGAAAAAAATAAGCAAAATAGACAACTGAAGCTAGATTCACTAAGAAAAATAAGGAGAAAAGTCCAATAAACAGACTCTAATAAAAATGAAAGAAGAAAAGTTATAACAGACATCTCAAGAAAAACTGAGGATGAAGACTGTTATGAACACCTGTTATGAAAAAAAATGAATAACCGAGAAAAAACTGACAAATCCTTAGAAGCATGCAACCTTCCAATACTGCACCTAGAAAATCTGATACAGACCAACTAAAAGCAGAGTACTGAAACAGAAAATGAAGTTTCTCACCCCAAAAAAGCCTAGTACCAAAGTATTCACTGCTGAGGACTAATTCTTGCAAAAAAATTGAGGAAGAATACCAAACCCAGAAAACAATTCACAAAAAAAAAGAGATACAAAGCAATAACACTGATAAAAATACGCCAAAAAATCAACAAAATTTTATAAAAACATTTTCAACATTATATTAAAGGGATTATATATCAATACCAAGTTAGACTGATTCCAGTTGTACAATGATAGTTCAACATTCAAAAATAAACATGTATTTTACCAAACCGAAAAAAGAAAATGTAATCATATGATCACTGGTGCAGAGAAAGAATTTCACAAGATTCAACTTCAATTTATAATCAAAATCTCAACAAAATGAGGATAGAATTAACTTATCTACATATTAGGTTGTCAGAAAAGTTGTGACACATTTTTTTCTGTGTCATGACTTTCCAACAACCCAATATAACAAATGTCATATATGATAACATCATAGCTAGCATCATACTCAATGCTGAAAAACTGATTTTCCCCTATAATCACATACAAGACAAGGATGCTCACTTTCACCATATTATTCACAAGAGTATTAAAAGTCTTATCAACAGCAATAAGGCAAGAGAAAAAAATAAAGGGAATATACAAATTGTGAAGAAGTGAAAGTATCGCTATTTTCAGATGACAGCTAGTACACCTAGAAAACTTAACTAAGCCATTAAAAAACTATTAGGGACCAATGGTGCGGCAGACCTCTCCTGTCTCGCCCACTGCTCCCCTCAACAGTCAATCTGTTTCCCACTCTGTCTCTGGTGGATCCTCGCACCCCCTGAATCTCTGGCTTGTACCCCAGCTCTTGTATGCATAAATAAATAAATCTTTAAAAATAACTATTAGGGAAAATAATAAAGTGGCAAATTACAAAAATCAATTTACTAAAATCATGAATTCCCCTTCATGCAAACTATGTACTAGAAAAGAAAGAAATCAAGAAAGCAATCTTCATTGCTGTCATATAAAAATGTATTACATACCTAAAAATAAACTTAACAAGGAGTTGAAGGACTTGTACATAAAAGCAATAAGACAGCATTTAAAGAAACAGAAGACACAGAAATTGAAAGATAATCCCTGTTTATGGATTTGAAGAATTAACCTTGTTAAAATGAGCATTTTACCCAAAGCAATATATAGATTCAGTATAATCCCTATCATGGCTCCAATGGCAATTTCAAAGAAATAGAATAAACACTGCTGAAATTCATAAGGAACCAGAAAAGTACCTGAATTAGCAATGCAATCTTGATTCAAAATAAGGGAGAACAGAGGTTATGAGATGCCTAGATTTCTAACTATACCACTAAGTAATCAAAACAGGATAGCATTGCAAGAAAAATAAACACAAACAAATGCAATAGAATTGAGAGCCCAGAAACAAACCCCTAGTATCTGGACAGTTACTCTACAACAAAGTAGCCAAAATTATAACAATGCAAAAAGGACAGTCTCTTCAACAAATGTGTTGAAAAACTAGACAGTTCCATCTGAAAGAAAGAAACTACACCACTCACATGTGAAAAAAAAATTAACACCACTATCTCACACATAAAAAAAAAATTAACACCTCTATATCACACATTAAAAAAAATTAACACCATTATATCACACATATAAAAAATTAACACAAAAGCATTTAAAGACTTGAATTTAAGACCTGGAACCATGAAATACATGCAAATAAATAAATAAATAAATAAAAAGCTAAGCAAAATATTCCATGGCATTAGTTTCAGGGCTATCTTTGGGGATTCAACTCCAATGGCAAGTAAAACAAAAGCAAAAAAATAAACAAATTGGACTCCAGCAAACTAAAAAGCTCCTTGATAGCAAAAGAAACCAATTAAAATGAAAAGGCATCCCACTGAATGAGAAAAAATATTTACACATCATACATCTGACAGAGTGCTAATATCTAAGATTTACAATGAACTCATAAAACTAAATTTAAAAAATGGGCAGAAGACCTAAATACACATTTCTCCAAAGAGGGCCAACAGACATTTGAAAAAAATGTGCTTCTTCAC